GAAATGCAGGTACATCCATTTAAAAACTTATCAATGATATGAAACAATATCCTAGATTCCATTGATACTCATATTCTGTTTATTCTATATAAAATAGTTTTTATATAATCAAAGTATTAAAACGTTGCATAAATTAAACGTAAAAGTGCTTTGCTTACTTGATTGCTAACAATCATTTAACATTTCATCACAGAATAAATATTTTAAATTTTTTATTAGTAAAAATAATTGAAAAATTCATTTTTAATCTTATTCATTATATGCGTTATTATATTATCAAGAATATGTATGTATTTCAACTTGGCAATAATTTGAAATAATAGTTTGCATTGAACAATATTATTATTATTATTATGACTTTTTTTTGATCATTTATCTTCAATGGTCTTACAAAGAATGAATTTCATTTTTTGCATTAGTTGTAAAAGGATTTGTAGCATTTATTCACATTTTTTTTATAATGTATATCCCCATGATTTAGCGAACATACCGTCTATAGTTTTTGAATTGTACAACAGTTGTATTTCATTAATTATGTAAATGGTCATTTCACAATTATTACTTTGGTGTTTTCGTCAAAATGTTAAAGAGAAGATGCATAGTTTTCTTCACCGTCCACATTGTCAAATAATAAAAGATTAATGAGAGAGAACAAGATTAAAATAACTAACTTGTACTGGTTTGAATTATACAAAACTAATTCACTTCAAGTGAATATACTTATGAATGGCAACAGGGATGGTAAACAGGATAAGTATTATAAGTTCATGGAATTATTTATACATTAATGCTTTAAAATTATTGAAATGGTTAATGTTGGATAGCTTAAAGTAGAAGTGCTAAAAGTTTAGCAACCGAAAAATAATGTTGCAATGAAATCAATATTATTCTGCTAAATGTTCCTGAAATCAAAACGTTAACATAATTTGTCGTTTACTTGTTTCATAAAATCACAGACAGTAAAAGATCACGTCATTATGACTGAATAAAAATTCTTGGCAAAACAGATTTCAATAAAGAGTTATTATTGAAAGAAAACTAATGGCATAGTGAGTATGAGATTAGGAGCGAGCATGGTAGATTCACGTTATTCTCGAAAAGACGCAATACATTTGAATATTAAACATTGTCTTAGAAAATCACATGAATTCCTTACTCGGACAGTTTGACGTAAAGCTTTAGGAATATATAAACATTATTATATTCACAAAATATCGAAATAATTTGATGGCAAAATAATTACCTTTGTAACGGGATCAACACTGTTACAAAGTTCACGCGCCACTTACCAAATATTTTTGTCTCTGAACAAAAATGAATAATATGTAATTACATGTGTAGAAAAAGTTTATAAGGTAAACAATTAAGTTATGAATTATTCAGACTGGTAATCAATAAGACATCCGTTTAAATTCCATTCGATACTTAATAAATGATTGGAATACAAGTACATTATTTCTCTGGTTAACAAAGATAAATGTGAAATTTCGCATTAAAAAGAACTACATGTATTTCACATTATATATACTTGAGTTATTGTTTATGAAGGTATAATTCATAAAATAATGCGATATAATGATCGATAAGAACCGTAAAACTCTCACTAGGAACTGCATACAAAATTTCTTTTCGTACAAGAAGTTTGATTTTTACGCAGGCACGTGAACATGTCATTTTGATATGCTTGAACTATTACGAGTTTACCTAAGTCGGAAAACGAGAGCGAGGATCGAGGATCCGGCGACACGGCATGCTAATCTGATCCGATTGTTCCAAACCCCATTGAATAAAAGAAAACTTGATATGAAGTAGGACGTGTGTTCTACAAACATCCAGAAAGCACGAGGTCCGATTCCAGAAGAGAATCAGGATGCCGGACTAGGGATCCGAGTGCAGGTGCGGATCACAGAACGTTACAGAAAATGCGTATTTATACATTTAGGTCGAATAGGAAACAGCATCGAATTCTGTGACATTGAAAGTTAGGACGCTCAATATGAAACAACACTAGAGACGTGACATGGATATAAAATAATTCTTTGTAGAATATTTGGTGAAGATCCTAACATTGATAATGCTAGATTATTGCATCACAAGAAAATAACTATTTTCAAACAGTGAAATGGCAAATTTTTCTAGAATAAATACATGAATTGTCTTCTTCTTTGTGGATCACGAGTTCTACGCAAATAAAAATGATGGTGTTCAACATTTCACATGATCTTCCTTTGATCTGAGAAATTGCTGATCTGATTGCATGCAGATGTAGGGAACGCGCAAAAGTCAATAGAGTTCTAATACGCGTGATCATGCAATCCCATGGTCAACATTCCACATACAATTTTCGATGTTTGAACTTCTAGAAGTAGTGTTTGGTAACATTTAGTTATTTAGAAAGCGCATCATACTTGAATGACTGCCTAGAATACGTTACATGTACTAGAGATTACATTGTAAAAGTGCATTGATTCGACGTTGCTTATCAACGTGATCAGGTTTTAACTATGGTCATCATCTGAAATCTACCGTTCCCCTGATATTTTTAAACCGTTCTCAGACCAGTACATGATATGAACTTTACACATTGTCAAAAACAGCTTAATAATAAAGTCACATCTGCTAACCACTTTACACAAACACCGAAATATCATAAACACTGACAAATTATCCATGGTTAAGATGGAGTAAATTAAAGGAACCTTTCAAGAAATCTTTTACCATATATTATCTATGGCATTGAAAAATATTTTGAAATAATTGTTTATAATGTACCAATCACTCAAAACACATTTGCGTTGTCCACACTGGCTGATACTCCTCACTGGTTGATACTCTTCCAGAATATCAACTACACGAAAATATACTCACTTACACACATACACAGCCTTATAACCGAAGGGATTTTCTTTGATATTTCAGTCAGTGTAAATTGTCAGATTAATATCTTCCAATACAATAGACATCAATTAACTAGAATTGTGATATATGTGCTGCATTGTGATACTAAACTATAAACCATGCATCATATGTCTGTTCATCACTTCAACAATCGTTGTCAACATGAATATGTTGGTTATTTATAGATTGAATAATCTGTTCAGACATTTCAACAAATCGTAATAGTTGGAATTTTATTTGTTCATTAATAAACAAACCTGAATGTATCCTAGCAACAAGTACATTGACATGAATAAAATTCTCCAACTCATAAAAACTATATATAAATGTATATAAGGCATATATATTAATTGTAGTTGGAATAGGACAAAATTGTATGGCTTCAGATGATAGACGTCATCTTGTTTTACATTTGTTGAATTTTAAACCGGAATTTTTAGTGTATTAGTATTTTAGGAAAGAGAAATTCCAACTGCTTCATAGCAGATTTCATTTTCATAAAGCAGTATATCGAATTAAAATTGAAATTTTAGTTAGTATATTTAAAAGCGATAAAGGTTGTGAGTATCAGGAAAAGTTGGTTTTTCCACTGGATGTTAAGTACCATTGAAGTTGAAATAATTTATGTTGTTAGTGATTATCGTTGAATATTGTGAGTATTCACAGTTGCGACTAGCAGTGGGAAGAAAAAAGATGCACTACTTGTTTTGCTCGGAACTCATCAGCTGGAGGAATCGTCTCACAAACACTCGAACGCACTGCCCTACGCATGAGTGATTCACTGAACTTCTGAATCCATATAGACACTATCTTGATCAATGGATGCAAAATCGTTCGTGATGTTTTGTATTTTCCAAATAGTCATATTCGACAAGCGCCTTTATGTAGAAAGCACAATTGAAACAACCCTCCTCTTTTGACAGTGACCTACAGATGGTGTCTGACAATTGATGGTAGCCTGTAATATCATGAAAGTGGAAATACCATTATTTATTGACAACTTCATACACATTGAATAAATTGTTGTTTTCTGCTTTTTAACAGCGCCCTAGCTGATATCTGTCTATCATAACAAACTTTTTCGCCGAATTAAATTGAGCACGATTAAAGTATAGAGACATTTCGAAGTACAATATCATAGTAACAGTGTATAATGCAAATAACTTGTTCACTATTGTCTACTTCACAATGTCCACAAAAGTTGCAAGGATATATGCACAGAATTGTTGATGATGAAGTGTTTTCACTGGGAAGGAAATGAAGTATCACAAGACTATCAACACCAACAGTAGAAATCGAAGGTCCAATAGGGGAACAAGTGTCGTAGAGAGATACTGGAGAAGCGAGCTCAAATGGCATATAGGTGAATTACTACGCGTTCACTTTGCATTCACTACACTTTCCACCATTTGAAGTATTGACAATGTTTAATTTACCTTGAAGTATTGGAAGTCTATCGTGAAGGGCTTGCTGTTACCGGATTGCTATGATCTTTTGTATTGAAAATCAATCTCTCAGAGTCATTCTATGGTCTCCCAAATTCACCTCTATGTTTTAATCTTACACAATGACCACCAGTTTATAAATGACCGGCTTCAAGATTGAGTTCTATAGTGTTTTGATGAGAAGTGTGGAATGTTGCAGTTCAGTCATGTTTTATGTGAAATGGTTACTTATCAGTGGCTCATTGCTTTACAAATCAACATTGGAGAATGAAAATCTGAAATATATGTTGTTTCTTTGATTCGGTTTACATTTGTCTGCTTTGTATTTTCATAACAAATGTATCTGTTATCGTGAATCGACCAACTGTATGTAACTAAACATTATTCAATTCTATTAAACGATATCCATTATTAAACCACATTCGAAATTGATGTGCATTTGGTGCAGAAAAGAAACCGTGATAATAATAATAATTATTAATATTATTATCATGATTATTATTATGATTGTCGTCAATATCATACATATTGTGACAGTGAAATTTATTGAAAATTGGCAATAATATTTTCTCACATTTTTATTTGTTGTGACTTACAGAAAATTGATTGTATTGTTTCTCAGTGCGGTCGACATGAATGAAGTGTGTTAACAAAGAAATGTTATGGCAACATCGGAACAATCGATTGTATTACCAAGTCTGTCATAATAATAATAATAATAATAATAATAACAATAGTAATAATAACAGTACTACTACCCCTACTACTACTACTACTACTACTACAACTACTACTACTACTCCTACTACTATTAATAATGATAGCAATAATAATAGTAAAAGTAAACAATTAATTTTGAAGTAACCACAGAAAAGCATTGAAAAATATAACGTTATTCCTCTTTGAATCGATTAATACAGTGAACATGCATGTGGGTGTTAGCCTGGGAAATGTGTTGCTTATAGCAACGAGTAATTATTGAATGATCAGAAGGAAATCGATAATGTCATGATATTTCTGAATTTGTATTGATAAATTTGCACTGAATCATGGGCAATAGTGTATGTGGATTGAATAAGATATTTATCTGAACATCTAAGAAAGCACGAGGTCCGATTCCAGAAGAGAATCAGGATGCCGGACTAGGGATCCGAGTGCAGGTGCGGATCACAGAACGTTACAGAAAATGCGTATTTATACATTTAGGTCGAATAGGAAACAGCATCGAATTCTGTGACATTGACAGTTAGGACGCTCAATAGGAAACAACATTTCAAGTGCCATTGATGGTCAGGACGACCAATGGGAAACAACACTGGAGGACGTGACATTGATAGCTAGGACAACCATAATATTGACCAGTAGGAATCGACCAATAGAATTAGACTTTCAAAAAATAATTCTCTTAGGATATTTGGTGAATATCCCAACAACTCCCTCTGAGGAAATTCAAGCTGTAACCAAGTGTTTATTTGCGTCTGGACTGTTGTTTGCCGCTGTCGGAGATCTGCTTGTTGTCGACTGCCAACTTACCTAACCTGAACAATGAACAACACGGTTATGAACTCATTGTTAACAATATACGTGTAGCATGGTGACACTGAAATGATTTAAAGAGTAATTTTAGACAACGTATCAGATTTGGAATGGTGAATACTTGAATGACATTACTTAAAATTTAATTAGATAAGCGTGAATAACTGAGATCATTTTATAGAGTTATTCATGCTCACCACCTTTCTTTTATCCAAACCATTTTCCTATTGAACATTTTCTATTTAATCACATCGATTAGTGAATTCCAATTACCAGAATCTGAGAGTAGTATTTCACTAAGATCACATTTTTAAACTAATTCGTAACTATAAATGGAAAGGTTGTAAAACATATTTTCTTTACTGAGCTGTTTTCAGCATTCAACAATATGAGTCTTCTCTGAAATAGGTCTGTGTAAATTGACGTTATTTTAAGCAGATATTTTCCCTTATAGAACATGATTTTTTATACTGTCTGGTTTTGATATTAAGCAATAAGTAGACATTTACGTATGTCCAAAAAGTTGAATTAGTTGGAACTGAGAATTCTTTGAAAGTCGATCTAAATTGACTATTAATATGAAAAGAAAAGGATAACTATTTACAATCCCGTTAAATTTTCTGAGATCAATATGTAACAACAATATTAGAACGGTAACAATAATTTTCTGTCAATCTGCTCTCGGGATAACATTACTTCAACTTTGTTGGTTTGAGATCTGATAACATGGGTAAGCATGTTGCTCGTACAGCATTCACTTTATGACTGTATTCATACCAGCTGAATACTCACGAGTCGACATTGTTTTCAACTGTTATTGCTGTGCAATCATTATCACGTATCTCGATATCAGATTTCAATCAATAATTAAAACATCTCATCTTTTTGTTTTTTCCGTCTACATATAGTTTGTTGAGATTGGATTTTTTTGGTCAATACACCCTGTTTTACATCCACAGGCATATAATTTTCTCCTTGAGCATTTCAATGTCATGTAATTGTTGACACTGTTTATCATGACTTTTAGACTACTTTGTTGATTTCGATTTATGTTGACTTTTGAAGCTCTCAATGTTTCATGTTGCTTATTCACAGATTTTCTCAATTTTCAAGCACTTGAAATATATTTATCAAATTGGGTTAGTTTGGTTACTCATTGAATTTCTTGAGTATAATTGTTCATGGGGTTCTTACATTGAGACCAAAAATTCTTTTATAATTGAAAGGATCATGTGATTTTATACACAAACCGAACGTATTTTTGTCGACAAATATTCCACAGACTTCTTTTCCACGTTATACCCTAGTCCAAATCTCATCGATCTAGTAAACTAAGAGCATGTGATGTCCATATTTTTTTCCAAAATCAGCGATACAAACTGAACATGTTCATCTAATTCAACAACAGCACGGTCAGTAGCCGGTATCGTAAATTATATTGCTGAGTTTTATTATGATCCTGAAAATAACGTTACTTTTTACATGTGGTTCCGGCGTTATGAAGATCTATTTAAATTTGATTTCACCAATCAAGATGATGATTGGAAGGTCCGACTGTTACTTCGAACGTTGGGTGCAAGTGACCTAGACTTACTTCCTTACTTACTTTCGCCTGTTACCCCCAATGAAGCACATGCCGCCGACCAGTATTCTCCGACCAACTCTATCCTGGGCTTCCCTTTCCAGTCCTGTTCTTCTCATGTCTTTCTCAATTTCTCAATGTTTTTTATTTCGTGGCCTTCCTCTTTTCCTTTTACCTTGGAGATTCCAAGTGAGTGCTTGTCTTGTGACACAATTGGGTGCTTTCCGTAGTGTGTGTCTTATCCAATTCCACCGTCTCTTTCTGATTTCCTCCTCCGCTGGAATCGGGTTTGTTCTATGACACAGTAGATTATTACTGATTGCGTCTGGCCAACAGATCCGAAGTAGTTTGCGTGGTCAACTGTCAATAATTACTTGTATCCTCTGGATGATGGCTTTTGTAGTTCGTCAAGTTTCCACCGCCTTACAGTAGAAATGTTTTGACATTTGTATTGATAATTTTGACTGTGATGTTAGTTGATAGTTCTTTGGAGTTCAAAATGTTATTCAGTTGTAGAAATGCAGCTCTTGCTTTGCCGATCCACATCCTTACATCTGCATCAGATCCACCTTACTCGTCAATGATGCTGCCCAGATATGTAAAGGTTTTTACGTCCTCCAAAGCATCTCCATCATGAGTGATTTGGTTTGCGCATGTTGTGTTTCATCGGAGAATGTTGCTTTTCCCTTTGTGTACGTTGAGACCTGCAACTGCTGAGGCTGCTGCTATGCTTATGCATTAATTTAGAGTACAGTTAGAATAGATTTAATATTTTTTAATTATAATCTTGTTAGCAACGTATGCGTTTTATCATTTAGGTAACATATTTCTACTGGAGTGAGATAATGATTCGTTTTGAAGTGCTACCACATTAGCGCTTTGTTCCTACCGATGAACACTATAGATTATAAGATAACGATTGTTTTGTTTTTTGCTTCAGTTCATGAATGAAAAATTACTGTATGAAGCTGATACGCTGTCTAAAATTACTCTTTAAATCATTTCAGTGTCACCATGCTACACGTATATTATTAACAATGAGTTCATAACCGTGTTGTTCATTGTTCAGGTTAGGTGAGTTGGCAGTCCAGCTTAAGAATAAATATGAAAAACAGTAGTAAAGTCAATCACTTGAGCCTCCACTTATAATCAATTGTCACGTTTATTGTTTTTGAACCACAGTCCTAATCTTATGGAGGGGATCGAGTCTTTCCTCTCTTGGTGGACTGAAAGCAGAACATATGTTTCTCCATCGGTTTGTATGGTTATTGTCTTTCCCTGTAATTTTTTGAAGATTCTGTCCTTTCTATATGTTTGGAGTCTACAACGAATGTTTCACACTTTTTTAAGGCCTTATCAGCTTCATAAACTTAACACATACTTTTATTATTCAAACTCTCTATCTCCTCCAAAGCCAAAACTTCATCCGTTAAACTATTGAATTATAGTTAATGATGCGCTCGTGTATCATTGAAACGTTTTGCATAAACAGATTTAAATCTAAGTCAAAATACACATTTTATTTCACGATTTGTAATATTAACATAAACAGGTTTAAAAATTTTACCTAAATGGTAGAATCTCTGTTAATTCAAAATAAAGTCTTCACTTCACTTCATTTCATGAAATGAGGCAGAATCAAGGTAAAAAAACCTATCTACACTACAATTTTAAATTAATCTACAGTTATTTTTTATGGAAGTCTGATAATAACAGACATGTATTTCACCATCCTCATATACATGTATTGGTTTGTGTAATTTTTCAACTGGAAAAATTTTAGCACCCAAAACTAATTAGCTTCGGACAACCATTTCCTCTTAGTATAGGATTTCTCAGCAATGAGCATCCATTAAACTACCAGTGAGTTAACACATAGATTTTAGAGGGTATGTTTAGTGTGTTGCATTTGAGATTATTGAGTTTTCATTCAACCGTTTATATTGCTTAATTAAATTCTATTAGTGTTCTTCGGAAATTACAATCTATTTCCATTACCTATGTATAATTCCTAATCGATTTTGTTGATTAAAATTAGCAGTGTTAAGTGACGAACCTAAAAAGTCATTCATTCACTGAAATTGGTTAACTTGTGGAGTCATAAATATTCACTCATAATGAGACATATACCAGGAGGAAATACCAAACCCCTTGATTCTTGATTTCCATTTGATTCTATAGCTTATTTAATTAATTGCTTCAAATGGTAAATATATGCTTTGATCTTCTTAAAAATCATTCCAAAAATAATTGTTTATAGATATCTAACTGAACTCGTCTATTCTATTACTGAAAATAACAACACGTTACAATAGTAATTTAATCAATCACATAATGCTTAAATATACAGTCAAATAAAGAACAACAAATCTTGAGTATATAAATGTTTTTATCAGTAAACGGATACAAATGAAATTAGTTTTCTGTCAACCAGTATCTGTAATACTATCAGTATGATGGTTGTGGATTTTATAGAATTTCATTTGAATCATGAACCAATCTATGTTAGACAACCATTCAAGTACTGAAGGTACTGGGTAGACGTTTCGTCCTAGTTGGGAAGTCCTTAGCAATGCGAATCAACGACATCAAAAACAGGGGTCGAATTTGAGCGAACGCCTGGACATCAGTGATGATTCCCATCCTAGGTTGGAAGGACCGTCTGAAGATTCCAAGTTTCCATCGGTTGCTTAACTAAGATCGGTTCATGATCTAAGTAACATTTGATAACATTTTAGCTAGAATA